TTGTAGTTTGTATTCTGAAAACTTGTACTTTGAAGGTGTACTTTCGTTTACTTGTTTATACACTAACGTATTGTTAATATCTTTTTAATGAGTTCTTATAACCATACTATGACGGATGGCCTGAAACAAACGCTTTGTGGGCGTTTAAACTGTTGATAACAATTGCCACTCATCGGCGTGTATGCCTGACTGTAGCTAGCAACCTGAGTGCGAGGTTGTCAATCCCGATATAGATCTACACACAACTTGTTTCGATCCCCGAGGCTGGAGATTCTGGTTATAATGTCAGGGCTTTACCTTGGTTGTCTAAAATGAATTAAACAACCTGAATTGAATGTCTCATAAAAAGCATATAAACGTTACATGTATATTAGTTATGAAAACTCAATCATTCTGAAATAAATGATTGACCGTATGTTCTTGATTTAATATTTCAAACATGTATTTGATAAGTGTAAACCTTGAATTGTTCTGTATCAAAACCCTAGTTTCTTGTAAGACTGTGTATTCTTGTATCATGAATTATTGTTCTATGTATAAATTATACCTATTATAATTTATATGTACTTTCTGAATGTGTATATAACTGTATTTAGCATGTAACCCCTTGCTCAACGTGTTACAAAGGTGTTTGAATTGATGAAATAACTTTTGTATTTATATACATACACAATTTCATATACAAGTAAAATTTAAACGACACTCGGACAAATAACCGGAACTATAAGCCCACATCCAAACAAGGAAAATGACCCAGAATGAGTTATCAGTCCTAAGCCTTTTGAATCTTATATATATATATATATATATATATATATATATATATATATATATATATATATATATACAAATATGAATTTTGGGGAAAAATATAAGATTATAAAAGAGTTTGATGTTTTGAGTATTTTTGGATAATTTAATGTTGTTTTATCATGATTTGTGTCATGATTTTTATAACACAAAGTTCTTGTGTTATGCTTGTATTCCCCCCCCCCCCTTTAAAACAGTAGAAAATATGAAAATACGGGGGTATGAACTCACTTGATAGATGGTGAACCGGATAGAGTTTCATTTCACGAAGAGGAGTTTATTTGTCGAGAAACCGGCTCAAATTGGGCAGAGTTTCGACAGGAGAGAGGTTACTTCTCGGGAATCTCGGGGCTTCGAGGCTTGCTTAGGGTTCGAGGCTTGATACCGGGGCTTTAGGGGTTGTATATGAGTTTATGGAAGTGGAAAATGTGAAAGAGAATGAAAATTAGGATGAAAAGTGTAAAATATTTCGGAACCCTCGCATGCCTTATATAGGCCGAAGCCTCGGATCCGAGGCTATGCGAGGCTGACACGCGTCGGACATGTGGCGAGGGAAGGGGACTTCTTCGGACTGCAGGCTCGCTGCTGGCTGGCTCGGATTGGACCGGACTTCGGTCCAATAGAAGACTGACACGTGCGAAGGAGTGCATCCGAGGGGCGTGCGAGGCGATGCCCGGTGTGTCTCATGCGAGGCTGTCCGAGGATGATTGGACCGTGGAGTTGGTCGAATCAGAAGGTTCCACGCAATGCTTCAGTCCACTCAGCAGCTGCCACGTGCGAGGGTGACGTGTCACATGCGAAATTGCCCGATTTTCCTATTTTTCTTTATTTTTGTGCCAAAACTTGCGAAAATCATAACTTTCGCATACGAGCTCCGTTTTTGGCGTTCTTTATATGCACGCATAGGTAAAATCATACTCTACGACTTTCGTTTAGACTTCGTCGGCTAATTTTGACTTTATTTTTAATATTATTATTTTAAATAGACCGGGACGGGAATCCGTTAAAAATTCATAACTTCTTCATCCGACGTCTGTTTTTGTCTGTCTTTTTACCGTTGTACTACTACCGACGAGACCTTCAATTCTCGTTTAGGTTGTGTCGGCTAAAAATCGCTCGATCTTAATTTCGAGTTTTTAGCTGTACACTGCTATACTGAAACTTAGAAAAATCATAACTTACTCATACGAAGTCAGATTTTTCCGTTCTTTTTATGAAAGTTCTCGGTTTAACATAAACTACAACTTTCATTTAGATTGTTAAGGCTAAAAATCCTTTTATTGAAAATTCAGTTTTTACACTGAATAGTGTTTTGCCGGTTTTGTCGCGGATTTTCGATTGGTCATAACTTCTTCGTTATAACTCGGATTTTAGTGTTCTTTATGTTTTTGGAAACCTTGTTACAATCTCTATCACTTGGTTCATCCCAATCGAGATTTTTAATTAATTTATTTTTGAGGGTCAATTATGTAAATATGCACTATATACTAAAATTTCTATTTATTATTATAAAAAAAATACACATTGACCTATACTATTACATAGGTTTGAAATAACGATTTGTTACACCACGTTGTAACCGAACCTAGACAAAACAGTTACGAGCAACCATTCTCAAGACGTGACATGCTGATTCTTACGTCGTGAGATCCGCACTAGACAACTTTGAGCATTAAGCTCTTAATCTCTTAAGCCACACCTTAAGACTCTCCAGAGGGTCTTCCCCAACCCAATGGACCATAAAAATCTGTATACTAGACAACATAAAGTACAAATGAAATACTATGCACTTTTACTAATACAATCAAAATTCTAATTATTATCAAAATACCAAACATCCACTCATTTACTCGTGATCTATAATCAGACAGTGTAAATTTGTTCTCACGTTTTATGTTAGGTCATCTATTATATCTACCACTAACCACTATAGTGGTGGGTGATACATCATAACCACATATTTACCACTAAACAATGAGATACCTACCACTACCATACCATTCCACCTCATTTTTTTAAATGAAATTTAATTCAAAAATATATAAAAATGCAAATACAATAAAAACATATTTTTTTAAACTTGTTTTTTATTCACTTAAAAAACGTTACATAATTTAAAAAAAGCAACTAAAATAAAATAGAAAAAAACATAAAAATGCAAGCACAAACAACTTAAACTAGTTTCCAAACCCCATTTTTTTAATCATTCAATTTTGGGGAATCCTTAAATTTTAGCCAAACTTTGAGGTGTGTAAACGGTCTGTGGTTAATGTCTTCATATTGATGCAGCCATAGTAAGCGGATCGATATCGTATTCATGTACGTTGTTTATAACAAAGTTATAAACTCCGTTGAACTCTTGACATTTTACCCTCATATTGCGAATTTTCGAACATATTGCATCAAGATTATGACTTCGACAACCCATTAAATCATGGAAAACGTTTCCAACTTTTACCCAAAACTCACTAGATGTTCGACTATCTAGGTCTTCCGAAACCGATACCCATGCTAGTGCTAAGTTTTCTTCTTCCTTTTGGGAGCCATTGTTTTTGAAAGATCAAGCAACACAAGTGTGTGATTGTGAATAAAAGGAAAGAAGAATTGTGTAAAATATAAGGAATTGTGTTGTGGAATTTATAAGAAAGTTTGTAGGTAAAAATTTAAAAAAAAAATATTGAGTAAATGCCCAAACTAGCTGTTAGACATGGACAGATTTCAATTGTGCGTTTTAATCCGTTGTGCCGACCACGATGGGCCACGAGCACGACGAACCACGAAGGTCCGGTCTAGTGTGCACGAGCCATGGTCGTGGCCACCTAAACCACGGAACCCTTCTTGGTATACAGACCGGAAGGCCTTATATGTAGAGGAAAGTTGGTCTTCATCTTTTTCTGCACAATTTCCACCGTACTCAGTTCAATCATTTTTTTTCTCGCACATCAAGAGACACAAATGCAAGTTCACATTTTCATCAAACTAATCAAGGTGAAGAATAACAGTTTGATTCTTATTAGCTAGTGTAATATGTGTCTTTCGATCACTGATTTCATCTACCTAACGTTCATAAGCCCGATCTCTTAACTTCTTCAAGAAGCCTATATATCTCATTCCATTTGATTTCATGTCTCTTGACTCTCTTTTCCACCAAACTCTTATATCATGATTCAAATTTTTCAATGTAGTTAAAATAACTAATAAAAAATTATAAAACAATGGATAGAAAAATCACCACAAAGGTTTAAAAGATGTAAAAAATAACTCGTTTTTGAACCAAAACATACAAAAATCATGTAAAAAAAAATAATAATAATACCATTTATTTTATTCTTTATATATTTCTTTTTCAAAATGAATTGGTTTGTATATAAACCCAGCGTGAGCGACTTTGCGTGCTGTTTTAGGCTTGTACTTGTAGTAGTATCACTAAGTCACGAACGAGACTTTTTATAAACATATGTTCGTAAGACTACTAAGGTTGACGAAGACGAAGAGTTTTTGCATCTACACATCGAGAGGTATGAATTCTCTTCCTTCAATCTCTGTATTTTCATCGAAATCGCTGATAATTATCGTTTTGTTTCATGTTTTCGTTTATGCGATGTTCATTTGTGATGTTCTGTTTCGCTTTTTCGTATTCGTTTCCGTCTTTCCGATGATTTTCGCTCCTATCGATGTATGAGCTAGTTAGGTATACATTTAGGTACACAAATCGCTGTAAATTCCACTCCATGTGCATGCGGAAGCTAAGATTTTTTATTGATGTTAAGATTGATTCGTTTCAACTCCGACACTATGTTTTTAGCTTGATTTCGTCATCGATTTTGCTTATCTTCCGTCGATTTTTATGGAGCGTAAAGTTCTATGTTGATGTTAAGTTAAAATTTTATTAAAAAATGTCTCTGATTCTTAGCTGAAATCACTATTTTTGACAATCAACATAAACGGAATCGTTATCGCATTGGAAGGAGAAATGCAGAAGGTGATGAATTTCTGTTATCGATGATATTGTGGTTGATTATCGTTGAAATGTGAAATTAGGGTTCTTAGTTATCATTTGTGCGCATCTTAGTATTGATTTTGTTGTTTAATATTGTTCAGTCTTTTCAATCAATGGAAATCGATGAAGCCTACAATAAGCTGAGAAATCACAAAAAGGGGAATTAAATTCAAAATTGAAGATACAAACAATGGTGCTAAAAGCAGAAAGTTACTCAGATATTCTCAAGGGTAAAATGGTCACAAAAGGAGAAGAGTACACAGAACTCAGTCAACCCACCAATGTTGCTAACACTGCAAGTCATGAAGCATCAAGAAAGAGAAAAAGGAGAAAAGCAAAGGGTAAATGTGTCATTTTGAATCTCAATGATAATACTTCATCAATTCAAGATCTTCCTACACAAATGGATACAATTATCACTAAATCTCATTCTGAAAAACTCATCATTGGTAGCATACAAATCCTCATTGATTATTCCTATCTTAATGGAATCCAAATCATGAAAACTCATGTTGCCACGTCAGCAAAAAAGCTTCTTATTCTTGATGTAAATGGATTATTAGCAGATATCGTTTCTCCCCCTCCAAAAGATCTGAAATCAGATAAAAATATTTCAAGAAGAGCAAGTAAGATTTTCATTTTCTCCAACTTTTTAATTTTACCAATTAAGATAAAAAAAAGAAAATCTTTTTATGGTTATTTAATTTATTATCCTTTTTATAATGCAGTATTCAAGAGACCTTTTTTGGATGACTTTTTAAGATTTTGCTTCCAAAGATTTGATGTTGCAATTTGGTCATCAAGAACAAGGTATTAAATTATTAATAAATAATAAGTAATAAATAATAAATTAATATCATTAAATTTTTGGATTTTATTCCTCTTTGATTTATTACTCATGGAATTACAAACAGGAAAGTTCTAGACCCTGTGGTTGATTATTTGTTAGGAGATTTAAAGAAGAAGTTGTTGTTTCTTTGGGTAAGTGTTCTTTAGTTATATTTTTTATCAAGGGCAATATAGTCAATTCACTTTATTTATATTTTTATTCTTCCAGGATTTGTCACATTGCACAAATTCAAGTGCTAGGAGCCTTGAAAACATACATAAGTTCATAGTTTTTAAGGAAGTCAAAAAAATTTGGGAAAAAATTGAATTTTATGATGAATCAAATACATTATTGTTGGATGATTCTCCATATAAAGCGTTACTAAATCCCGTAAGTCAATCACCATTTTATTTAATTTAACATTTTTTTTTATAAAAAAATTATGATTTTTTTAATTACTTTTGTTTATGTTTTAGAAGCATACTGGAGTCTTTCCCTTGTCTTACACCTACAGGGATACAAATGACAACTCTTTAGGTGAGAAACAACAATATATATACTTTTAATTATTATAACATTATATTTTGAAAAATCTATCAAATATAACAATATAATAATATAACTAGGTAAAATTTTCAAATAAAAAAAAGTACAATACTTCAAATTTACCTAGTATATTATAAGGTAAAATTTTAAAGTATAATGATTTAATAAGAAAAAAAATTGGAAAGTACAAGAATATAAAGAATATAATTTGTTTGATTTTTGAAATAAAAAAAAAGTCAATGCTTTAAGTTGTACTTGTTGCAGGACCTAATGGAGATCTTAGGGTTTATTTGGAAGGTGTGGGGACCACTGAAAATGTAAAGACGTATGTAGAGCAACATCCATTTGGTCAAAATGCCATTGATAAAAGAAGCCCACGTTGGGCCTTTTACTCTAAGGTTCTTAAAGATGTATCTTAATAAAAAAAATGGATTCATAATTATTTTTTTGAAATGAAATGGATAATTTTGGATATAATTTTGTTGCAGTCAGTAATAATTATCACTGACTGTGACAAAGTTGTTGAAACTGGTTGATTTCGGTTATTTGGTTTGGGCTATTCGTTTTCGGGCGTTTAGTTGTCAAACTGAACTGGTTAAATATACTCAAAGTGAATTTCTCGAATCAATTAATTGGTTTTGGTTTTATTAAACCAAATTTTGGTTTTTCTTTTTGTTATTTGCATTATGTATTTAGTATTTATGTTTAGTTCAAATGTTTGTAAAATTTAAATATTAAATTTAACTATATAGTTTTTTATTTTATTTTAAATTTTATACTTAATATGTTCATATTTTTTGTACATTATGTTGTTTAAAGAGTTCATCACTACCACCACCAAAGATCGTCAAATCTGCATCTCAAAGAAACAGAAGTAGGTTAAGCGAAAATGGAGTTGTTTTCCAAAATTGAAAGTAAATTAAAATATAATACTAAATTAAATTAAATTGTAACAAAAATTATTTTCATTATGATCAAGGATTCAAGGTTGTAGAACTCGGTATTCGGTATCTGTTCAGCCGATTGCCGAGTAGCAAGTACTCGGGAGAATGCTGGGAGTATCTGGATTCGGTAATTCATATAGAAATATTTTTAGAGAAATTATATATATCAAAATCATAAGTTAAAATCATAAGTTGATTGAAATATATAACAAAATTAGATACATGTGAAAGCATAAAAACTGAAAAACATACAATGATTTTACTTCGTGAATAATTACTGAAAATTTAAGATATATATGTAGTAATAATCATGTGTGTGTATGTGTGTTAGATAATAAATCATTAATTATATTATACATATTAATCACTGAGTTGGTCGAGTTTTACAATACTGTCTGCTTCAGTAAGGGGCCGATCGGGGAGTACTCGGATTCTATTACTCGCATCGGTAAGGGGCCGAGAACCTTCATTGGTTTCCAATTCCAATGTGTCATCTATCTCATTGGAGGATTGAGAACCTTCTTGGCTTGTAGGGAACCTCATAGGGCTGCTTGTGTGTAACCACCCAAAAATTCACATAAAAATTTTCATTTAATAATTAGAAACCTCATTCATATTTGTTTCTCCAAAGTTCCATTACATAAATATATTATTCAAAATTAGAGTTTCCAAAACAACTAATGCGGAAATATTGGAGAGTGCATGTTGCACCATCAAGCCAGACCCTTTCCCTTAAAATCAGAAGTACCTGAAACACCCAACAAAACTGTAAGCACACGCTTAGTGAATTCCCCAAAATACACAAACCACATAATCATATAATTTCATGCACATATACACATAAAAGTGCCATGGACTCCCTCCATGGTCTTCAACCGGGATGTCATAGGCTACCCCCATGGTCTTATACACAAGTGTCATGAGCTCCCTCTCATGGTCTTTCAAGGTGCCATGGGCTCCCCCCATGGTCTTCACGTAAATTAATACACACCAAATAATAGACCTTTGCATAATCATTTATAAAGGTTCACATCAAGTAATGAGCCGACATTGGTGCCTTCGACCCATGAGTATAGTGAGGAGACTCACCTCAAAGATTGTCAAATACTACGAATGTTGCGGCTGCTGCGAATCGGCTCCTAAAACTGAGCCAAACCCAAAGTTAAACTCAGTAAATAACTATGGCCATATTCAAACACTAGGCCCACAAATGGCCTAACTAACCAGGCCCACCAATGGTCCAAGCCCATTGGGCCCACTAAGGCCCAAAATACAATCCTAGGCCCAACAAGGAAAGCCCAACAAGACAAGCAAAAAAAAGAAGTCCAACACTACAAGGGAATCCTTCAGTCCAAACTAAGCCCAACGAACAGCACCCAAAACAAGCCCAAAGCTCAAGAGTCCAAAAGATGGCCTAAGGAAAAAGCCCATTTGATGGACCGAACGCTGGGCGTTCGCCACCAGCCAACATATCTTGAACCTTAGTCGGAACGCTGGGCGTTCCTCGACCCAACGTTGGGCGTTCGCACGTTGACTCCCAAAAATGATTATTAAGCACTTAATGCTTAAAGCCACACGACCAAAAATAGATCCAAGTCCTAATGAACATCTAGAACCATAAAGTCACTGACTTGGTGACTTTGCATGCCCCAAGAGATCCCAACTTCAAGATATAGCATTTAACTTCCATAAAAAAAGGTTAAATATCATGCATGGGGCTTATACAACTCTAAAGATGCAAACTTTATGAATCTAGAACCTCAGAAACACCAAGAGGAGCAACTCAAAGCTTCTGGAGTGATCACAAACTACTAGACCTCAACTATGGGACCAAAAAGGGACTAAAATCCATTAAGACTTAGATCTAAGCTTCTAATGAGCAAGGTTAGAGCTTTATACCTCAAATAGGATGGAAATGGAGCAGAGAACCAAGATCTATAAGCTCATACTTGAACCACCACCTTGCACCAAGCTTTTCTTCCTTGAATGAGATTCAAACACAGACGAAAACACACATAATGAGCTCACAACACTCTTGGAGGATCTAGGGTTTCGAGATTAGGGTTTTGGGAGCTATGGATGCTGGAAATGAGGCCAACACCTGGGACTTAAGGTGTTTAAATACATCTCAAACCCTCAAAATTAGAGTTTGAGCTCCACACATAAAAGCCATGTGTTCCCCAAGGGAATGCCCCACGTTCGAACTCCGCCTCCAAAAGTCCAAACTTGGCAGAAATGGTCCCTCCTCCCCCTCAAACTTGCAAAACAAGTCTAAAAAGCAATAACCTAATATATAAGGGACCAAAAATGAATAATACATGGATCGAGCGCTACGTTGTGTTCAAGTCATCTTCTTATGTTGCTTCTTCAGGTACATCTTCTTGATTGACGGCATGCTCTTCTTCAGTGGGGTAGGGGGTTTCAAAAATGTTTTCATCTTCACCTTGATTTTGCTTAGACTTTGCAGTGAAGGGAAAAACATTTTCAGCGAATTTCACTTCTATTGACATTATTATTTTGTCATTACTGGCATCGTAAATTTTGTAACCTTTTGTGCCATATGGATATCCAACGAAGACTCCAGGCCTCCCCCTTATTTCGAACTTGTCACCTTTTGTCTTTGTGCTCCGATAGTAAACTAGATAACCAAATATTCACATATGATCATAATTTGGCCTTTGCTTATGTAATAATTTGTACGGGGTTTTATCTTCAATTACCTTGGATGGTAATCTATTGATGATGCACGTGGCTGTCAGGATACACTCGCCCCAAAACCTCGTAGGGAGGTTTGCTTGAATTTTCAAGGCTCAAGTCATTTCGAGTATATGTCTGTGTTTTCGCCCGACGACTCTATTATGTTGTGGCGTATGAGGACATGTTGTTTCCAAGTTTATCCCTTGTTCAACATAGAAATTCATCATTTTGTTTGAGGTCAATTCCCCACCATTATCGCATCTAATTTTCTTAATATTCTTTTCAAATTGTGTTTTAACCATCTTTTGAAAATCAATCAGGCATAAAATTGCTTCATCTTTATGTTTAAGAAGAAAAACTCAAACCGCCCTACTTAATCGTCTACAATGGTTAAAAAAATAATTTGCTCTTAAAAAAGAGGGACTTTGGTATTTCCCATATGTCACAATGCAATTGATCAAAACACGCATTTGTTTTAGTGACACTAGTCGGAAAGGGCTGTTTTGTAAGTTTAGACTTTGCACATGAATCACAAAGATGACCTTTATTTCTTAAAGAAATGTTCTTAAGAAAATTAAATTGACATAGTTTCTCTTTACTAGCATTCCCTAACCTCCTGTGCCACATATCCATTGTTGTCATCATTGCCCTTCTGCCTCCTCCAAACATCCCCATCCGGTATAGACCACCATCACACTTACCCGCTCCAATCAATCTCCTCGAACGTAAGCCCTGCATGATGAAAATTTTTATGGAAAAAGGTTACAACACAATGTAAATCATTTGTGAGTTTACTAACAGACAAAATATTGCAATTAAATTTGGTAACGTGTAGGACTCCTTGCACTTTGGTTCCGTTTGGCAAGGTGTGATTTCCCTTTCCCTTAACAGGTACGACCTTTCCATTAGGAATGGTGACAGGTAATTCATCAATCGAAACAACTTTCTCTTCTAAAATATCGCCTCTGTGGGTCATGTGACCGTTAGCCCTGAATCAACAATCCAATCATCATTATGGCTAAGTTTACCTGCCATGTTGGTTGTTGGTGGCACATCTTCATTGGCCTCTTTGTCATCAGAAGAGAAATGCTTTAGAAAATGTTGGTATTGTTCCTTTGTTAAGCCTGAAATTGGGCTAGATTCTGCCTCGACACAAGCTGCTCTAGGTTTCGCCTTTGATTTGTTCTTCCCTGGCTACTATTCAGGATAACCAACTCGTTTGAAACATCCATCACGAGTGTGGCCTTGTAACATCCCGACTCCCAAGTATGAATTTTAAGGATTTTTTCACATCACATAAGACCTACTCGACGAGTTGGAGGCCCCAAATCGTCGTGTAGAAACTAATAAAGCCGCATGGATTATGGAACCTACTCGACGAGTTGGAGGACCCCAACTCGACGAGTTGAGGCTATGCATGAAAACCCTAATTTTTAGGGTTTGCACCCTATTTAATGGACCTTAAGTCCCCTCACCAGCCTCCCTCACCCCATTATTGTGCAGAGAAACCCTAAAATCGTGCTAACCTTCCATTTTGAGAGTGTGCAAGCCTAAAAAGTGTTTGTTGGTGCATTTCTTGAAGAAGCTTGAAGAGACTAGTGCATAGCCGAAGGAGGAGGCTGTAGATCCGACATCTACACTGTAGTAGCAAACATTTGGAGGTAAAAAGTCTTTACCTTGACCTCTTGTTTCTTAGATCTTCTCCCATGGAAGTTTAGTGCATTTTTAACCCATTTTGGAACCATTTTCGGAGTTGAGCATGATTTGAAGTTATGAATTCAGATTTGGACACCTTTAGGCCTCCTTGGGCCTAAAGATTCAAGATCTATCAAGCTTTGGACATCCTCCATGCCCTAACCTCCTTATTAAGTTTCATATGAGTGTTTTAACCCCTT